ATGCTTGAAAGTTGCTATGAGAGTAGATTGTAAATGTTTTCACAACATTATATGAGGTGAAAAACGTGTTTACTAACCTAATTGTGATAAACGTTCGCAGTATATATGTGTACCAAATCATCACATTGTGTGCTTTAAACTTGCACAATGTTATGTGTGAATTATATGTCAATAAAGCTGGACGGGGAAAAGATAGCAGAACAGATAATCAATAAATTTAAAGACACATCTGTAGAAATTATCCAGCCTGAGGAACAGAGAGATAAAAGATTAAAGAAAAATGGGCAGAGCCTCAGAGACGTGTAGGACATTAAGAGTAACAATATACATAAAATGGGAATTCCAGTCAAGAGAGGGGGCAGGAAAAAAATGTGAAGGATTAATGGCAGAAAACTTTCCAAATTTGGTGAAAAACAGTAATCTACAGATCTAAGAAATTGAATGAACCCCAAGAAGGATAAAAACAGAGATATTCACACCCAGACAAACTGAAAACTAAAAACAGAGAAAAGTTTGAAAGCAGCAAGAGGAAAATAACTCATGTACAGGAAAGGAATATATGATTAATGGGTGGCCTAATCAGAAACAGTGGAAGCCAGAGCCATGTGACATATTCAGTGCGCTGCTAAGAAAAAAACAAGAATTCTATATCTAGCAAAACTGTCCTTTTAAAATGAAGGCAAAATAATGACATTCCCTGATGAACAAAAATGGAGAGAATTTTTGCTAGCAAATGTGTCTTGCAAGAAATACTAAAGGAAGTCCTTCAGGATGAAAATAAATAAATACTAAATGGTAATTCAGATCAAATCCATAGAAACTGGTAAATGAAGAGCACCAGAAATGGTAAATATGTGGGTAAATCTAACACTATAATTTTCTCCTATCTTCTCTTAAATTCTTTAGATGATATCAAAATTATATAAAGCAATAATTATAACAGTGTATTGTTAAGTGTATAGCATATATAGAAGTAATATATGAAATATATTTGAACATATGAAAATAATAGCACAAAGGGAGGAGGAAATGGTGACATACTGGAGCAAAATGCTTATGTTTTGTGAGAATTCAGCTATTATTCTGAAATAGATTGTGGTAAATTAAGATACATGTAATCTGTGAGCAAACTATAAGAAAATAACTAAAAAAAAAAAGTAAATCAGAGGGGTTGAAATGGTACATTCAACACAAGAAAAGAGTAAAAGAGAAACAAAAACAAACAAAAAAACCATGCAACACATAGAAGAAGATAGCAAAAAGGGAGACAAAATCCAACCATATCATTAATTCCTATTAAATGCAGACAGACTGAGCACTTCACCCAAATGACAAATTGTCAGTATGGATTAAAAAAACAGGACCCAACTATCTACTGTCTACAGGAGACATGCTTTAGATTCAAAGACACAAATAGGTTGAAAGCAAACAGATGGAAGCATGCATACTATGCAAATAGAACACTCCACCCAGTGATTACAGAATAAACATTCTTTACTGACAGACTGGAACATCCTTTTAGGGTGGAGCATACATTAGGCCACTAAGCAAGCCTTAATAAATTTAAGAAGATTAAAATTATGCAAGATACGTTTTCTGATCAGAACTAGAGAATTAAACTAGAAATGCACAACAGAACAAATCTGGGAAAACCTCAAGTGTTTGGAAATTAAGTAACACGCTTCTAAATAACTCATTAGTTAAAGACAAAAATCACAAGAAAATTTTTTTTAAATATTTTGAACTCAATGAAAATGAAAAACTCAGAATTTATGGGATGCAGCTAAAGTACTGATATAGCTCTGAATTCCTATATCAGAAAAGAGGAAAGAAAAGCTTGAGTCAGTAACAACCTTCAGCATTAAGAAATTAGAAAAAGAAGAGCAAACTAAGCCCAAAGCAAGCAGAAGGAAATAATATAGACTGGAGATCAGTGAATAGAAAACAGAAAGTAATAAAATCAGGGAAACCAAAAGCTGGTTCTTTGGGGGAAAAATCAATAAAATTGACAAACCTAGACTACGAAAATCAGAGAGAAGACACAAATTATCAAAAGCAGGAATAATAGTGAGGACAAAATACTTACAGAGACTAAAAGGATTATCAGGGAATATAATAAATAATATACTAAGAAATTATACAACCCAGATGAAATGGACAAATTCTTGGGAAGGCACAATTACCAAATTTAACTCAAGAAAAAAGTAGACAATCTGAATAGATTTATAACAAGTAAATTCAGTGAGTACTTCAAAATTATCCCACAAAGAAAAGCACAGGCCCAGATGATTTTACTGGTGAGTTCCATCAAATATTTAAAGAAGAAAAAGACCAATCTTCAAACTTACTCATAAAATAAAAGAGGAAATACTTCATAACTCATTCTGTCAAGCCAGTATTTTTCTGAAACCGAAGCTGGCAAACAACAACATCATAACAAAAGGAAATCTGATCCATGTCCCTCAGGAACGGAGACGCAAAAATACCTAAAAAAATTGTGGCAAACTGAATCCAGCAATATATAAAAAAGGATTTTGGATCATAACCAAGTAGGATTTATCCCAGAAATACAAGTGTGGTTTAAGATCTGAAAATCAATTAATGTAATATCTCATAATAGTAGAATAAAGCAGGAATCAGCAAACTTTTTCTGTATGGGACCAAATAAGTAAATACAGGCATCATTGACCATACAGTCTCTGTCACAGCTATTCAACCCTGCCAGTGTTTTACAAAAGCAGCCATAGACAATATATAAATGAGCATGGCTATGCTCCAATAAAATTGTATTTCTGGGTGCTGAGATTTGAACTTCATAGAATTTTCACATATCGCCAATTAGTATCTTCTTTTGATTTTCTTTCAACTATTTAAAAATGTCAAAACCACTCTTGACATGTGGGCTGTATAAAAGTAGGCAACTGGTGAGATTTACTGCCTCTGTGGACTGAAGGACAAAAACCACATGACCATCTCAGTGTGATAGGCAGCCTCTAAAATGGCCCCCAAATAATCCCTACCGCCTAATAGTCACACCCTTGTGTAATCTTTTCCCCTTGAGCGTGGACTGGTACTAAGGACTCATTTCTAACAATAGAATACTGCAAAGGAGATTGGATGTCACTTTGCAGATTAGGTTACAAAAAGACTGACTTCTGTCTTGCTCTACTTTTCTCATTGCTCTTACTTGGGGGCTTGGAGAGGAAACAATTTGCCCTGGTTTGAGTAACTGGAGAGCCCATGTGGCAAGGAACTGATTTTCTGGCTAACAGCCAACGAGGACCTGAAACCTACCAAAAACGAAATGAGTGAACTTGGAATTGGATCTTCTGAGGTCTGCCAAAAGCCACCTTAAATGAGCTTGGAAGGGAATCTGTACCCAGTTAACCTTTGAGATGATTGCAACTGTGGCCAATACTTTGATTGCAGCCTTGTTGAGAGACCCTGAGTCAGAGGCACCCTGCTAAGTTGCCTGTGTCTATATTCTTGACCCACAAAAATTGTGAGATAATAAATATTTGTTGTTTTAAGCTGCTCAGTTTTGGGGTAGTTTGTTACGCAACAATGGATAACTAATACATCATTAGATAGAAAAAACACATGGCAGAATCCAGTACCCATTCATGATAATTCTCAACAAACTAGGAATAGAAAGGAGTTCCCTCAGTCGGATCAAAGGCATCTATGAAAAGGTTACTGCTGACCGTCATGCTTAATGGTAAAAAACTGAATGCTTTATACCCTAAGGTCAGGAGCAAGACAAGGGTGGTTAACTCACACCATTTTTATTCAACATTCGATTGGAGAGCCTAGCCAGTGCTGTATGTTTATTACAGAATTGCAAAATAAAACCACACTAGAAGATTATATTCCATACCCACTAAAATGGTTGTAATCAAAAAGAGAGATCAATGCCAAGTGTTGGCAAGGATGTGGAGAAACTGGGACCTTCATAGGTTGCTGGTGGGAATGTAAAATGGTACAGCCATTTTGAAAAGCAATTCGGCAATTTCTTAAAAAGACATAAACTTAGTGTAGGACCTAGCAATTCTACTCCTAGGCATTTCCCAAGAAGAAATGGAAACCATAGGGCCACACAAAGACCTAAGAAACATACCAGCCAAGTAGAATGTATGGTTCATATTTGGATCCTAATTTGATCAAATCAACTTGACAAAGGCATTTATGGGAAAATTGAGGAAACTTGAATACAGACTGGGTATCAGATATTAAGGAATTAAAGTCCTTATCTATTATAAATGTGTCCTAAGATATTTATAGGTAAAATAATATGTCTTTAAAATACTAGAACAAGAAAAGGAGGGAAATGAATGAAATAGAAATAGTAGAATATTGATAAATGTTGAAACAATGATGTTACATGTGCATTCTCTATTATTCACTCTTGTATGTATTTGAAATTTTCCATAATAACGTAAACTTGAGAACTAGCCACTGTGGGGAAAGTCTTTAAGAAACTCATAAAGGGAAGTAGGTAACTTAGCTTGTGTCAGCCCAGTACTGGTCTGTCCTCTGTATACCTTGCAAAAATCCAATTATTATATTACTACTGTGCAGAAGGTTATCTTGAGCAGAGATTTAAATGAAAGAGCAGAGGCAGAGCTTTCAGTCTTCATGTTGCACCACTTGCTAACAGGTACCAGTTAGCTTTCTGGTGTTCCTGGATTTGCAAGATGCATGTAGATAATCTTATCAGCACATATGCAGTTTGCCGTTAATAGCTTTCAACATTTCCAAATGTGAATAAAGCACTATCTTCCTCTCATGCAAATTCTCACACACGGTACAGTCTTTTTTATCCTTTATAAATGGCACCAGTCTTTTCCTTAACGTGAAAGGTCCCAGGATTTATAACTGCTTTTATTTGGGTTATGGAAATTTCACAGTTCTTATATATACACACATGTTTAATGAGAATCATGTATAATGTTCTAAAGATGTGTTCTTATTTATTATTTTCTCCTTTTTCCATTTTTCAGTACATGTACTAGCCTTAGCAAGTTCTGTTCCAAACTCAGGCACCTTGACTTGGCTTCCTGTACATCAATAACAAACATGTCTCTAAAAGCTCTGAGGTAAATTTCTTATGATGAGATTTCCAATAATCGGAACAAATACTTATTTTTTTTAAATAACTGAAATAAAGTTGGAATTAAAGGAAACTGTTTTATGGATATGTACTGTAGTTCAGAATAGATCTTTTGTCCTACCGCTCGCCCAAATTACAGGACACATTCAGATAAAATGACTGGAAGTAACAGATTTCAGAACAGAGTTAATACAATTTATATGTGGATATGATTTATACCTGAATGAGTAGAAAAGATATATCATTATAGCTTAGTGATTAAAGCAGTGCTCTGGAGTCAGGTTATTAACCATGTACCTTGAACAAATATAACTCTTATGAGTTCTTATCATTTCATAGGGTTGTTATTAGGATTAAATACTATTATTATTTGATAATATCAGGCTGAACCATGTAAAGTTACCAATATTCCAACAGTTTTTGTCTTGTGAAAATGATAGCTTCACATGTTTCTACCTAATGTATATAAGTATATAAATTACATAGCAGGGTTCCTGGCTTATAGTAAATAATAAGTTTTAATTGTTTGAATGTTAATATATTATTAAAAGTATATTGCAGAAGACATATCTTAAAAGGAAGGTGAAATGCCCATTCTCTTTGTAACTTTACTTTTTTATCAGCCTCTTATAAATGATTATGATCCCATGTATTGGTTGCATTTATGAATAGTAAGATTTAAGCTATTAAAAGAAGGAATGTAGATTTAGTTAAGTAGAGCATAAGTAATCTAAAAATGTGGCTCCTTCTAGACCTCTACTTCCTTAAGAATACTGAGTACATATGAATTAAGGCTGTTGGTTGTGTGAAATGATAAATAGGATATGTAACAACATTTATAGTTTATAAAATATTCACATAAATAATCTCATTTATTTGAAAACCTTGTGAGGTACATTGGAAAGACACTTTACAAATAAAATCTAAAACAGTTTTGAATGCCAGGTAATGTGATTCAACCATGGGATGTAACTGAATAAGATATTGTTGCTACCCTTAAGTTCCTCAGAGTCTAGTGGGAGAAAAAAAAGCACTAAACATGTCATCATATTACAGTGTGATAAATGCTATGATAGAATTAAGCGCATCAGTTTGAGGAGAACATAGACAAGTCTGGCAGTCTTTGGTTAAGAGAGGTTTGGGCAGGCTTCCTAAAGTGACTTGCCTGAAGTCACACTACTAATGTTCAAGAATGAACTTGAACCAAGATTCCCAGGCTTTATTTTATAAAAGTTATACCAATCTTTTTGAAAGAATGACATAGAGCTTGGAATTCTTTCATCGTTCAAATGTGAAATCAAAGATTAAAGATGAAGCTAGCTAGTGTTTGATAGAAGCCAGAGATCAAATACATTATATCTTAAATTCAGCCTATGGAAATAGTAATCTAGATACGTCCCAGATAAGGAAATTTTACAGATCCTCTGTAATTTTTAAATAAAAATTTAAATGTCCTCATTCATACTTTGATAATAGAATTATTTGATAGAGGATCTGAATTTGACTCTATACTCTTCATTAATTACTTGGTCAACTTGAACAATTTTCATTTCCTATCTAGGGAACTTTTCGATATGTGATAGGCGCAAAAAGAATATACTCTGAAAAGTATAAACCTCCATAAAAAATATCATATCTGAAAAACAATATTGTACTTCATTAAGCTGGATTTGAGCTAGCCCTCCTAGTGATATAGGGCCATATGAACACCACAAACCCTGCTGGTTTTTTTGTTGTTATGCAATTGTCTGTGTTCTAAATTTACATTAAGTGAATATGTATATTCTTGTGGGAGCATATGTGGCTGTTTCCACTTTTTTACTAAATAGCCAAGAAAGCAAAACTTTGGTGCCTTTAGAATTTGATTTAGTCTTATGTTTGTTTCATTTTGTTTTATCCTAAGTGAGGGGTGTCCACTGTTGGAGCAATTGAACATTTCCTGGTGTGACCAAGTAACCAAGGATGGCATCCAAGCACTAGTGAGAGGCTGTGGGGGGCTTAAGGCTTTATTCCTAAAAGGCTGCACACAGGTAAAATACTTCATGTAGTGCTTGTGAATGATAGAAGAACCATGAACTTTGTAGGCAGCCCCAAGATGTTGGCTTAAGGGATATGTAGTTGTTTTGTATTATTGACCAAAGACACATGCTTACCAAAAATTAAAGTGTTGGGGCCGGCCGAGTGGCTCAGTTGGTTAAGAGCTCGCTCAAGGGTTTGAGCTCTGAGCAACAGCAGTTCAAGTCCCAGCCCAAGCTGAGCAACTGCTGAGCTGCCAACAGGTGTCAGGATGGCTCAACAAAAAAAAAAAAAAAAAATTAAAGTGTTTTTCTTAGAGTAAAAAAAAAAAAGAATTAACATCTGACCAAAGACCTATCTAAGGGGAAGCAAGCTGGGAAAACAAAATCATACTGAGCATGCACCCAAGAAGGGTTTCATACGATTTAATCTGAAAAGAAAACTCGCCACGTTGTTACTGTCTGAGACCCTGAACTGGATAGGTAAGGAAGGCAGTCTAGTTTAAACCACCAGAAGCTTTTCTTAAATGTGCCAAATATATAGCAACCCACATTTTATAGTGTTGATGCCACTTCCTGCCAGTCACGTTACAAATTCCAACATATTTTGTCATTAAAAATATTACTCTCTGTTGTACAGTGAAAAAAATGTGGAATTGGCATAATAGCATCTGGGAGGAAATGATCAAGAGTGGGTTTAGAAGTTAACTGACAAAAGTAGGGCTAGGCACCTATTCCCTTATTTTCTTAATGGTTACTAAAACCATGCGTTGGATTCCATTAAAAATGCCCTCAAACAATGTCCCATTGTTTGAAACAGCTTTGGAAGTTTGACTACCTTAAAACGACAGCTTGAGCTTTTGGTTATTTATGGGATCCTGAAAAATATTGATTGGAATGCATCATAATCAATTACTTGCCATCTGTTCTCAGCACTGTACTCATGGCACTGATCTTCCAGCAGCAGATAAACTGTGGATTCCTTTCTCAACTCCTGCTCCCAAAAATACAGGAAGTGTAGAAATGTAAAAATTATTTTAGCTTCATAGACACCCAGCAGAATGCTGTAAGGCATATTTATCAGAAGAAAAATCCATAAACATTAGGCAGTGTTTATTTTATCTTTTCCTTGATTCGATTATAAGAATTTGATGTGATAAGAACTGATAAAAAATAAAATGTACTGATCATATGAATTACACCTTTATGTAATCATAGTTCATTGTTCCTTTAAAACTTGGTTGTCTTTATTAAGAATGCATTAATGAATGTGTGTACTCTTAAAGCTTTGTCCTTTAAAACGATGTCAATAATCTTTTTATCCCTCTCTTTTTAATCTTTCTAGCTAGAAGATGAAGCTCTCAAGTACATAGGTGCACACTGTCCTGAACTGGTGACTTTGAACTTGCAGACTTGCTTAGTAAGTAGTCCTTCCCACAACTCTTCTGCACTAGTAATTCATTTCTGTATTATTACTGTTAAGTGTTTCAGTCATCAAGACCGGTGGTGTTTCCACTTTAATTCTGGGGGACACAGTAGACACACAGACGATTCTTGACTTGCTTGACTGTACTCACTCCCAGGGGCTTTGACATAGATAAGAGGGTAGCTTATTCAGAAATCCAAGTAGGCTCACTATAACTTCACCCCTTTCTTTTGTACTTAAGAAAACTCTACTTTTTAGGATTAAATTATTCAAAAACTTCAGTTTTTAAAGTATTTTTGGTAAATTAATTGCAGTCACATCAATTAAGATCTATCAGTGGGTCATAACTATTCGGAACCACTAATCTAAACAGATGATGAGCAAAATGTATCCTTTAAATTATTTTCAAGTAGTAGTTATATTGGGTTGTCTGAAAAGTCATGACGCATTTTTGCAGTGAAAAACATAGAAAAAAATACGTCATAACTTTTCCGACAACCCAATAGTTTACATTTGGGTTGTTTAGACTATCAGCTTTTTTTGTGTCTATCCCAAACCCCTGAACTTGACTTAGAGAATTTGCTGAAACTATTCAGAGCCCTAGAACATTAACAATATACCTTTAGCTTTTCTCTCTTGTCTTGAAAATTAACATATGTGTGTTGCTTTGGAGTGAGAGCCTCTCTTAGCAATTAAAAAAAGTTGATAAGGGTTTTCTTTGTTTTCACTAAATAGGCCTTCTGGTTATTATACCATCCCCTTCTTATTTAATCACCTGAAACTTGAGAATGGAGTGGTTGTTTAGTTTAAAGGTGATACTTAAAGGGCATTTAAGTACCACAAAATTACACATTTTGTGCAATTTAAGCAACTCACCCTTACAGCCCTAAGGTATAGTTAGTTCTTGCTGATAAGGATCTGTTTAGGGGCTTCTGGAGACTGAGTTAAAGGAATGACTTTTTAAAAATTCTGACCACCCTTTTCTTTTAATTCTGATTGCCATAGTTGCTAACTACCAGAATTTGCCTAATTTCGTTCATGGAAACTGAAATATTTGTCCTGAGAAAAAGAGCTTATACAACTACTGCAAACATGAAACCCTCATTTTACAGTGATAGGAAAAAACCGTCCTAGGGCATCCTCAGATTTTATTTATATACATGTATACACACATTCTGTACATATATGTATGTGGCACATACACACTCACACATACATCTATACCATATATTCCTACCATTTGCCATTTTAGCTTCATTTCCTTTACCCTTCCAGCAGGCAGAAATCACAGTTGTTACGCATAAAGAACCAGTTCTATCTTATATTTGTTTTACTGTTTCCCTTCACCCAGATATTAGGGCACAAGTCAGTCCTCTGTTATTCCCTCCGTACAATATGATAAAATTATTCTTAACATTCATGAGACTTCATGTTCCTGCCCAAAACTGTTGAAGTGACCAAAGTACATTCTTGATCCATTCTCTTTCTTGACTAATATGAAAACATAAAAGTTTAGTAAATTTGACTTTTTAAAATTTAAAATATTGATAATACGACTTTTCTCCTCTTTTCTTTCTCAGTAATCCCTTACAGACTTTAATACATTAAAAAGGAAAAGACAGCACAGTCCTCCAATACTTTGTGAATATTGTGTGACACAAATTCCACTGGCCTGCTAAATATGCATGTTTATTGATTGCTGCTTCCCCCTTACATTTCAGTTATCCTTGTTTAGTAATAACGATACATCACACTTCCATGGCACTTTTTTATGCACATGTGTATATACCTCATTAATTTATTTTCATGACAAATCTTGTATCTGCCTTAGCATCCATTTTTTATCTGTATTGTTTCAGTTGTATAATATTGAGAACGTACTGATTTAAGCAGTGACTTTTGAAAGTTTTATTTTTTTCAGTTCTCCTTGCAACCCAAGGACTGATTAAACAGAGATGACAGGGGAGCTTTTGTGAAGCTTACACAAAACTAGTGAATTTCACAGGACAAATTTAAGCGCTGGTCGTATCGGATTGGATCCAACATGTTAAGATGTTTATACATGACTTTTGAAAAATGTAACATCTTTGTTCTTTTTCATTTTAAAATAATTTAAAACATACAAAATTATATTTGAGTTGGACACACTGTTTATTTATCTCCATAAATTAGAATATTGTTTATTAGAAAACAGAAATGTAGAAATAAATGTATCTGGTTGGTATGAGATTATAGCCATCACCCACAGGCTGTTTCATTTTTTTCAGTAATTTACTGGGTTGTCAGAAAGTCATGACGTATTTTTCTTGTTTTTTGTTGCAAAAATGCATCATGACCTTTCCGACAACCCAGTAGTATCAATTTTGAACTTGTAATTACATTTATACTATTAAAATACTGCTGTTCTTACTGTTTTCTAGGTTTTGTAATCATTCCATTGAATCTACACCATGATGCACCCTGTACTATTCCCAATCCCATTAGGTTAAAAGAATCCCATTATAGTTTCTTTCTTCCCTTTACCCCTGAAATAAGCACTACCTCTCTAGCAAACTACATCAAAAGGAACTAGAAGAAAGTGTGTTCATTTTCTTTTAGGTCTATTACCTGATTTATATTAATTTTTTTTTTTTGGTACTTATTTTCACAGAGGTAACATTTTTCTCTTTTTCTTCTGCTAAGTTACTAACATCTATGGTTTTGTTTTGTTTTTTTTGCTCTTGTTTTTTTAGCAAATCACAGATGAAGGTCTCATTACTATATGCAGAGGGTGCCATAAGTTACAGTCCCTCTGTGCCTCCGGCTGCTCCAACATCACAGATGCCATCCTGAATGCTCTAGGTCAGAACTGCCCACGGCTTAGGTAAACATTTCTTGTTTAGCTGAAAAAATCAGGGGAGAGGAACAGAGGCCTCCTTCACCTATATTTATTCCTTGGAACCATGAAATTTTTAAGGTTTATGCTACAAGACCACTACCCTTTTAAATGCCCACCTACTAGTTTTTATTTCATTTGATTACATGTAATTGGCCTGAACTAAGGGATAATGGTCCCCATTTACTACTTCTTGCTATCCATACTAGGAAAAAAAAAAAAAATCCTTTTATTACCGTTTTCCCCATGTATAAGACGCACCTTAATTTGGAGCCCGAAATCTGAAAAAAAGTGTATTACATAGTTATTGAACTCAAGTTTTATTCATCATAAAATTCATACAGCTCCTCATCACTGTAAAAAAATCTACAACCACTGTATAAGACGCACCCAGTTTTTAGACCCCCAAACTTTTCGAAAAAGGTGCATCTTATACATGGGGAAATATGGTACTTGAGAAAAGAAACAAACGCATTTTCTCTTATGCTTTCATATACAGACAGACCCCGGCTTACTATGGTTCAACTTACAAGTCTTTGACTTGACAATGGTGCAAAAACAAAATGCATAATAAAGTACATTAGATATTCCACATTTTATTATAAAATAGGCTTATATTAAATGATTTTGCCTAACTGGGCTAACGTAAGTATTCTAAGCACATTTAAGGGAAGCTAGGCTAAGCTATGGTGTTCAGTAGGTTAGGTGATTAAATGCATTTTCGACTTCATGATATTTTCAACTTAGGATGGGTTTATTGGGACATAACCCCATTACAAGCCAAGGGAGCATCTGTAATTCCTTTCTGAAGAAAGTTTTTAAAGGTCTACCTTGTAGTCGCTTATAGTGTAATAATGATGCCAGGTACACAGCAGGGAGTATTTTAAAAGAAAACCCACAGGAGAACCTCTTTTGTGCTAATTGATGGTGTTTTAGAGCAAGGCTTAGTTCCCTATGATTCCTCCTTTCTGCCTAAATATAAGACTGGCTGAATATTAAGAATGCTGTGTTGGCCATGTACATGGTATCAAACCCATATGGATTCTGTAAGAGCACACAACACACTATTTTGATCCTCCTATACCTGTTTTGTTTTTTAAAATAAAACTTATATTGTACTGATTATATGTTAGATGTGTTAGCCATTGTTTTAAGTGATTCACAAATATTAATTCATTTAATCATCATAACACCATATAAGCACTGTTATTATCTCCATATTATAGATGAGAAAACCGAAGCACAGAGGTCAAGTTACCTGTTCAGAGTCTCACAGCTAGTAAGTGCAGGAGCAAGGATTCAAACCCAGGCACCCTGGCTCCAGAACCCATGCAACCACTTGTCTTACATATAATAATCATTTAAACCAATAGAACTTGATTAAAACTTTTTTTTGTAATTACCTGGCCATAGGCCATGATTAGTGAAACAACATTTGCCTAGAGTATCAAAATTCTTTTATAGAACATAGACTTTTGGGTCAAATTAGTTAGTAGCAGAAGCCTAGAGTCCTATTCAGGAGCTAAGGAGGTAGTCAAATTCCTCTCTAAAAATATTACCTGTTCCCTTTTTGTCTTAAAGAGAGGGGTTTTTAGCGTCCCCCTCCTTTGTAGTTTCTTATTGTTAAGAACGGAAAGGCTCTCAAATGTGATATTCAAGGTGGGTTCAGTCAGATCATGCTTTTCCATCAGATAAAGTATTCATTTCTAATTGATGGTTAGTTGATAATGATTTCTTATACTTTAGTGTTATTTTTTTTTTCAACTTCTGTAAATAATTTGTAAGCAAACATATAAATATTCTTTGGTACCGATGTGCAGATGCCACCAAACTTTTCACAGAAAAGAGCTACTTTTGATTCCCTGGTCCTGTGAATAGTATTTAGGTTGTGTGGAGCAGCTCTGAATAGGAGAACGGCTGCCAGTTCAGCTTCCCTCTCCACTGGGCCTCCCTGGGAGCCTGTGGGAGGAGGCAGGAAGCTTAAGGAGATTTTTTCATAAGTATGGAATTTCATATTTGGGATTGGCCTATAATTAACAAGTCCCTTCATGGCATTTTTAAAAGCTATTTAAATCTCAGTGAACCTACATGTAAAATAGGAAAAGAGAATAATTTACATTAGCAACAGATCGACTGAAACAGAGTATTTATCTCCATTTCCTTTGTTTTCTAGGAGCAGGCTGCCCTCTGGGGGTAAGCAGTATGCCATCAAGAAGCCTTTTAAATGCATTTCTCATGCATTTTGGCATTAACTACAAGCTTCTATTATATTCTTCTGATTGCATCACCCTGAAATGTGGTATTTACAGGACCACTTTCTGCTGACTCCATGAAAATGAATGGCAAGATCTGTATACAGACTTGCTTAGCTGTTAATGTCACTATATTATATAGTCCTTAGGGAATAGGAGGTTGTTTTCTTAAATTCTTGCTGTTTTAATAAATGCAGTTTTCAGGGACCGAGGACTTGACTTTCGCTTTGTTTTTTTAACAGAATATTAGAAGTGGCAAGGTGTTCTCAACTAACAGATGTAGGCTTTACCACTCTGGCCAGGGTAAGTATTTTCTCCAAGTTCTATAGGTTTTGCTGGGGATTTTTATTTCAGAAGGAGCATGGAGGGGAATGTGAAATGGCAGCAGAATTGAAGGTGTGGGGTGTCAGGACCTTCCCTGTGGCTGATGTTCCTGGGCATTGTCGGGCCGCAGCCACAGGCCTGTAGAATACAAACTGCCCTGAAGTGCAGACTTGCATTGGATAACATAATGCTCCTCCATGAGACTTCATTTTCCACACTTTCATGTGATCAATTAAGTAGGGACTTCCTAGTGCTTCGTGAAAGAAGCTTACATGGTTATTTGTATGCAGCTGGTTGGTGAGAGTAATGTTGAAAGAAACATATAAGCCTGATTTTAATTGGAGGCATTTTAAGAGATTTTCTGTGTTCTCCAGAATATTTTAATATTAATATTTGGAGTGGTTTATAAATCTCTGTATAATAATAGTACTTAAAATTATACTGTCTTTGACCAATGTAATGGGACATGGGGAAGGACATTTGCTTTCAGGCCTATCAATGGAATACAATACTAATTGAGTGCGGGCGGCACATGACATAACTTACATGAGGACATAAAGCTTACCTTTCACTCTTCCCAATAAATGGTTTTTGTTCAATTATTTATGGTTGAAGGGATCTCTTTATAGCGCAGTATTACTGTTCAGCAAATGTATTCCCTTGGACTTGTAAAATGTTAGATACTTTAACTGGGGCATAGTAGAGAAATTCTAATGTGACCGAGGCCTTTTTTTTTTTAAGATTTTATCGGGGGAGGGGAACAGCGCTGGGGAATTGGGGGAAGGGGAACAGACAAGTTGCTGTACTTTTGTTCTTCAGTCTAGTTGTGGAGGACATTGCTTCACTGGCCCGTGTTGGTATTATCATTGCGCCCTTCCCAGGTGAGGCAGATCGGTCGCCGGCCTCTGGACGGCCGCTCACGGCGGCTCTTGGCAGCTCACGCTGGCGGCGGCTCTTGGCAGCTCACGCTGGCTGCCGGCCACTCGCGCTGGCTGCCAGCCACACACGGTAGCTTATGGCAGCCCACTGCAGCACGGGCTGCAGCCTACGCCGTCGTTGGCGATTTACAGCAGCCCAGCTCCAGGTTGAACTGTTGTTCACCATCTTAGCTGGAGAGGACAGTGTCACTGGCCCCCATGTGGGATCTAAACCAGGGCCCTGCTGCTCAGAGCTGGCATCCCAAGCCAGCTCTTAACCAGCGCACCACTCAGCTAGCCTGACCGAGGCCTTTTAAAATGTGTAATTAATGGAATAAGACAGAAAGTGACATTAGAAGGACACCAACTGTATAACTCTTAAGATTTCATTAGTATATTTAGTATACTACTTTGTTTTTTGGCCTTAAATTTTTCCTGTGTTTTATATGTTTGTATTGTAATGTTTGGCTTTGTATTTTATAGAATTGCCATGAGCTTGAAAAGATGGACCTGGAAGAGTGTGTTCAGGTAAAATTGTGGATTTTTACTCAGGAATACAGTATGATAGAAAATTACATACCATGCACATGAGAACATTCACTTCCCTACCCTAGTGTAGTGTGGTGCCTGGCAGCACCGCTGGCTCTCTCCGTTTAGGGAGGGGCCCTCCAGGCATAACAGGCTGCGGTGCTCATAGTATAAAAAGTCTGACAATTAAGTTCGCGAACTCATCCTAGAAAAAGTGCTACATACCTCATTGCTGAATAGAACTATGGTCACCTTCAAAGTAACTCCCCTTGGGAAGCTGTGCACTGATGCCAGCGCCTACTCCACCCTTTAAAGCAATTTTGGAACTCTTTTTCTGGAATGGCCATCAGAGCTGTCATCGTATTACCTACCCTTGATTTCCTGAGTGTCATCAAAATGTCTTTCTTTCAATATTTCTTTTATCTTCGGGTAAAGAAAGATATCATTAGGGGCCAGCTCAGGTGAGTAGGGAGGGTCTTCCAATATAGTTATTTGTTTACTGGCTAAAAACTCCCTCACAGACAGTGCCGTATGAGCTGGTGCATTGTCGTGATGCAAGAGCCTTGAATTGTTGGCGAAAAGTTCAAGTCCTCTAACTTTTTCATGTAACCTTTTCAGCACTTGCAAATAGTAAACTTAATTGTTTGTCCATTTGGTACAAATTCATAATGAGGAATTCCTCTGATATCAAAAAAGTTTAGCAACATCATTGCAACAAGTTTGCGAACTTAGTTGTCAGACCTCATATGTGTTAAGAAACTAGGAAAATTCATGCCATCAATAAGGTTGCCATTGGAAAGAAAGAGGGTTCAAACATTCAGGCCGTAATGATGATAAATGTTTCCTTAGACCTATAGGGTTTTGATACTAGTAAATAATTAAAGCCCCATCACAGTTACATGTAGCACTGCCCTTTTAATGACAGGCAAACCATAGGTTATTTCCTTATCAACAATTTCTTTTGTTACCAATTAAGAGCTTTGAGATTATTAGTAGATTAGGGAGAAACTTTGAAGGGGGATCCTAAAAAGAAGATAGAGCAATGAATTTTTTTAATGGTAAAAATAAAGGAGATACTTGGGTAACTATTGAGGTCCTTTTTTTTCTAAATTACTTGTTATCATCCGAACACTACTTAGCAGCTATTAGTTCTTACGAAACTAAAACTTGTTCACGTGCATTTATCTCTTGCACATGCCTGAGTGTCCCTTCCAGTGTCAGTCCTGAATGACGTGCACATACCTGCCTGCCCCAACTTCCCACCCCCTTGCCATTTCTTAACCCCTGTGAAGCTATATACATTACAATAATATATAATAACAATAATCTCAGAGTTGCAAATTTGAAAGGAAGCACTGATTTACTTTTTGTCATAAGATAGCTATAAAAGACTGTTCTTCCTTCTAGGAGTATGTCCTTCCTGAATGTTCATAATTAACCCAGATTCCAGCAGCCCCTTTCTGCCACCCTTGGGAAGATAACTGACACCCAACTTACCAATCCTTAGTTGTGGCATGGTTTGTAAAATATAAGCCAAATATCTAAAAATCTGAGGATGTTTCTACATTAATCTTTTTTTCATGGAGCAGTGTCTTCTGATTCTTTTCTGTAATGGTTCTAAGGAGGTGGGATAAAGTCCAGTGGGTAAAAGTTACGAGGGGACAGATTTTCATTCATTTCAGAAACAAAACAGTTTTCAACAGACCTGTTCATAGATGAACACTAGAGATGACTAGATGCGTTTAAGCCTAGCTTGGATAGGTTCTCAAAGAGCAGGTTCGGGTAGCCAATGGGATTTCAACTTCTAGATTCTGTCATTTGATCATTGATATTAGGCTGTCAGTCTAGATAGAATAAAAGTGTAGTCAAGAATGAGGTATGGCCCATGAGTATTTTTTGGAACTATACCTAAAATAAGCTTACATGTTTCTTTCAGATAACAGATAGCACATTGATCCAGCTTTCTATACACTGTCCTCGACTTCAAGTATTGGTGAGTTTGACTCTGAAAGTTTTGCGTGTTTATTGGATTTACTCAAAACCCAGCTCTTATTTTCCTCTTGGTGTCTTGCTACCATTTCGGGAAAGCATATTTCTTCAAATTGCCAACTTACCGAGGACCAAGACAAGACCTGAGTGTAGTGGGAAACTGAAATAGGAACTGGAAAAGTTAAATGTTTTCTGGATCAATACTTGGAGATTGAAAACTGACATGGGCAGTATGAGTCCTCCCTCCCACAGGAATTACACTCCTTCCTGAATGATGTTTAAATTTCCATAGGTCCAAGGGACGAGGTGGCCCAAAATACAGTTTGCTTCACCTTGGGACCAAGTGTTCCTGTAAAACAGAACCAACCAAGGCTTTACATGGGGGGTTCTCTGCTACTGCTTCCAGTAACATTGTGGGAAAGCATTCTGGTTGACTATTCTGTTATCTAGGTTCATTTTTGGTGTGTTTTGTGGCACATTACTATCCAAAATCGGGTCAGAGGTTCTGATGAGTTTCACATGTAGGAACCAGGGATTTAAGGAAAATTGATAAAGTGATTTATGTGAAGAGATAACCACACTTGACAACCCTAAGAATCAACTTCAGTTAATTAACTGGGCATGCCCCTATACCAGGTATTCAGTATTTAGTCCAAATTCCAGAAATCTTTGTGCAGGAAAAGCTTGAGCTCTACTGTCCCTGTAAAGAAGAGAAGTGTTAATTTGTGTGTCGGGGCAAGGGGTGAATATCATTGTTTATGAACTATTTCACAGTAATTACACGAATTCACAAAATATATTTAGAACCATACAAATGTCGATCATTGATTGTCAAAAGCAGAACCCCAGGAATTCTAGTTTGCTTTTTTCATTTTACCACATGTACCTAGTAATGGTTCCATATATATCAAAATCAAACCAGAAAAGTCTCCTTTCCAATGGTACCCAGGCCTCTGGCTAAAGAATGCCAGAAGATATTTCAGTGTCCTTCCTTGCTCTGTTTGATTTCAGAGCCTGTCTCACTGTGAGCTGATCACAGATGATGGAATTCGTCACCTGGGGAATGGGGCCTGTGCTCATGACCAGCTGGAGGTGATTGAACTGGACAACTGCCCACTAATCACAGATGCATCTCTGGAGCACTTGAAGAGCTGTCACAGCCTTGAGCGGATAGAACTCTATGACTGCCAGCAAATCACACGGGCGGGAATCAAGAGACTCAGGGTAAAGATGGCTGCATCACTCTCCGGCTCTAGTGTTCTCAGCACCCTTTCCTTCTTTTTTTTTTCGATTTAGAGTCCTGTGAGTTTTATATTTACTTGGACATTTAGCAGAGATTTTTTTTTTTAATGGAGAGCAAACCTAAAGGTAGATAGTTTTTAACCTATGTTTCCATTTGTTCCAGATGGAAATTTAGTAGGAAAATAGCCACTGAAGGGAAGAAAAGTAGGTCTCCTCCCAGCAGAGTTTCTCCAGTAATGTCCAGAGCTTAATTAATAACATGCCTGGAGTCAAAAGCGTGTGCCAGATTTTGTTTCTCAAAGAAAGAAAGGAATAACATAAAGAAAATATTTAGTTAAATAGGATTTAATAATTTAATCTCTATTTCCTTTCACATTAAGCCCTTTTGCTGGAGTTATTTTTTAAGACAAAAGTGGATCATGTAGTTTTTTTCTTTTTTCTTTTAGCCCCACCCTCCATAATAGAGACCCATGTATACCCAAATGACTGGAAGACAGGTTCCCAGCAAGAAGGTTATAAAAGGCTGGATGAATCTGTTAGATTATTCAGCTCAACAGACATTTATTGGAACATCTGCTTCACACCTGCTGTGGGAAAGGCACTGTGCTTAGTTAGTAGGCCCTTACAACCAACCTCTAAAAACTCCATGTTGACCATTTGGCATCTGAGCACGTAAAGGAACACCAAACCTCACCTTGAGTTCCAGTTGGCCTCCGTTCCTCCTCTCCCATCAGACTGAGAGGACTGAGACCTTAACTGCAATGGCGGGGTCCTTGCAGCCGTATTTCTTCTATACCACAAAAGAGCCACAGATCAACCAGAGCCTCTTCTATGGCTTACTTTTACTAGGGTTCCTGGCTCTCAGCAATCCATCTCTTCAATCTCTAAATCTTCAAGAGTCTTTATCTGTTCTTCAAGCCACTTAGCACTTTTTCGCTTTCATTTAGCTATTTATGTGCATGTCTAGACTACAAGTTCCCTAAGAGCAGGATTTCCATCTTGATCATCTTTGTATCCCTCTTGTGTAACTAGCACAGTGCCTTGAACATAGCAGGAATTCGGAAACTATTTATGTGGTAAAAAACTAGAGGCATGTTGTTAAAAGAGGATAATAATGATGAGGTTTTTTGAAACATCAGAAGAAACATTGTCCACAATGACTTGGAAAAAATTACTTTAAGCTTATATAGTTTCTTCCAACTATGGGAATCAAGCTAGGAATCCCCTTTAGGACAAGTTAAGAGATGGGTATGAAGTTTCCCCCCAGTTTTATTATTATTATAGAAGCAAGTAGCAAAGTTATGTGAGCTGATTTGGTTGTTTAGAGTAAGGTGGGATGGTACAGGGTAGAAACCAGGCCTCTCAGCATCCTGGCTGTTGGTGCTCAGCCTCTGCCCTGCTTTCATGGCCAGTCAGCCCCTCAGTGTTTTTTCTGAAAACCAACCTTGCTCTTTCTGTTCAAGCCCTCTCTCTTAGTAATGTTTCTGTCTTGTTTCAGACCCATTTACCCAATATTAAAGTCCACGCCTACTTCGCACCTGTCACTCCACCCCCATCAGTAGGGGGCAGCAGACAGCGCTTCTGCAGATGCTGCATCATCCTATGACAGTGGAGGTGGTCAACCTTGGCGAACTGAGTATTTAATGACACTTCTAGAGTTACCGTGGAGTCTCCAGTGGAAGCAACCCCAGTGTTCTGGGCAAGGGTTACAAAGTGAGGGCAGCACCCAGATCCCCAGAGCCACACATACATATGCATACCCACCCTCACCCACTCTAGCTCTGTGACCAGGGGACTGAAGTTCGTGCAGGCTTTATCAAGTGGATTGGTAAAACTTAACCATTCCTGTTGGATGTTCCCAGAAGAAAATCCTAGGCAAGGTAGAGGGAAAGGAGCATTCCAGCAAACCCAGTGTTACTGCTACTACGGTTTCTTTATTTTATTAAGGGGTTTCTTTGGCAATTTTGGAACAGCAACTGCAGTCCTTCAGGGTCAAGGAAAGCATAGAAAAACAATATATGTTGCATCCAGGGACCAGAAAGAAAATTTCTTTGCATCCTATAAGTGGTAGCCATCCGTTGTGAGATGACTACAGAGCTTCTGTGCTTCCTCGTTCCCATGCCAACGTGCTGAGCATGCTCACAAAGAAGGCTCGTCCATTCCTCATCCTGTTGTAGTGTTTGGCCCAGAGGTTTCCTAAATGATTGCGTTGAAATCGCTGTGGTCCAAATGTGATTACTTAACCCACTCAAATTGTCACTCTCTGTAGCACACTTGTGCACCTGTCTTTCGCTCACTGTTGCTCCCTCCTGCATTCTTGCTCAGTCTGTCACCTGTTCATAGTCTGCTTACTCACACTCAGTTGTTACTCTTTTGCTGTTGTTGTGTTTACAAGTTTGCATTTTGGATGATTAGTTGGGGTTACCAAACATTTTTAAAAGAGACATTATCAATAAATATTTTTTTAATTCTAAATTTTACCGTTAGGGGACCCCGCCTGAATCTTTACCAGTTGTGAGAAGAAATTGAGCTAAGACTATTTTGAGGAAAGTAAACTTTGCCTTTTGGTTTCTGTTCTGTCTTGTGATATGTGATAATACACATAGTATGCTCAGCATTCCCCCTGCACATTTTTCCTTCCATGAAACTCCACTGACCTTTAGTAAGGAGAGAGAAATGCATTATTAGTAAAGAGTGAAATGGCAGGTCCCAAAACGGAGCCTGAAAGCTCCCACCACCTGAGCTCAGACATGTAGTATGTTCACTGAAATACAGCTGTGATCAGTGGCATCTATGACTTGTGTCTGTGAGGTGGTTGGTTTTAGCAGGAATGCTGCTAGAAGAGCTATACTGTCTAGCCAATCAATTTCGCTTCCCCCATCCGTCCCCCTCCCCCATTTCAGTCTGTCAGGGATACAAGAAGGACCCTGTAACAGCTGGTCAACTGTATGTCAGTGTTGATGGTATCATGTCTAATATCAAAGCCTCAAAGGACCAGAACCTTTTCAGACCTGTCAGCCATATCTCTCTTGTGCTTTAGACTTCCCATGAATGAAATAGAAGTGTAGCCAGGTGAAGGAAGGGGCAGCAGAAAGAGAACATTGAGGGGAAGTAGGGGGTTTGGTGTGTCTGCCCAGCCTGGTCATCAGAGCTGAGGGCAGGGTGTTCAGTACCCATGACTCCGAGTTGAAGAAGTTTTCTCTCCCCTGCCCCCACCTGCCAAAAAAAAATCATGCAGGATGAGTGAAATGAGTTTTTAAAGTTCAAGAAGTAGATTTCTAAGCCCTGAGGTTAGAAACCTTGTGTGATTTTTTTTTTTTGGGGGGGGGGTCTTCTAGAACATTAATGTGCAGTTCACCATGATCTTAGATCATCTCATGATCCAGGCTGTTAAAAGGCTTGTTTTAATGCTTATGCTTCAAGTGCTGGTTCAACCAGCAGGTGTAAGAATTAAGTGTGATTTATTTCTTCACAAGCAGTCACATGAAAGTGTCCTAGAAACATGTACGATCCCCCAGTATTTAGCATGTTATATTTATTTAAAATTCTATTTTATCATGCCCTTTTAAAAGCTCAAATTACTTACATTTTTTATTCTCCGTGCCCCTTATTTTCTTTTCAAATTACAATGTAAGGAATACACTTTTTAAAGTGAGATTCACTCTCCTGGCTACACCCCACAAGTATAAATATACACACGTGCACACACACTTCAAGATGTAGTTCATGATATTCAGATCCCTAGGTCACTCGTTCAAACAAAACTAAAAAGAGAAATACTTAGGTACCACTTTAATGGATAATAGTGCCTGAACAAATTGACCATAAAACCCTGATTGATTAGTGAGTTTGGCTTTGAATTGCCCAATGGTTGAGGCTATTAAGGTACTTCTTTACTTGAAAAAATACATAAATTTAAAAGACCCTGCTCACCAGTACATGAACGTCTTGGAAATGGTGTTTCTCTACTCAAAGAGTGTACTCACGTGCAGGTCCATGTGCATTTGCCCAGGCAATCCCTGTGTGTCTGGGCAGAGAACAGAGTGGAGAGAGAGAGAATACAGGCCCCGGAGTGTGCAGCACTCACTGGTATGTGGTCAGGCAGGAGCTTTGTTCTTTCTCAAGAAAACTTCAGGCCCATCAAGCTTGGAAGGAAATACATTTTTTATGCCTATCTGCAACCTACACCAGCTGATGAAATGTACCAGGACTTTGAGAACCCAGAACATGGTAAGTTTGGGTCAGGTGGAAAGGGTCCTGTCATCGGAACATAATGCTTCCTATTTTCACATCAGGAACACTTGAAAATTCAGTAAACCTTCACAGGTGTAGGAGAACTCTCCTTAGGAAAAGCTTATTGTTCCATTTGTCTGACTCCAGATTCCCTCCACAATATGCCTTCTGTAATGAAAAAATGCAGCGTGAACAGAAGGGATTTGGGAGAAGTAAGGATGTACCCTCAAAGCTATTGCCATAAACCTGCAGATAAGCCAGGAGGAATTAATGCAGTGTCTCTGGAGGAAGTTATTAAACATCCAGCTCATCTCTTTTCCAAGCAGCCTTTTCCCCATGTTTTCCAGCATCAGTTGTTCCATTGATATCTTTTACATCCTCTTTGTTGGTCCCATCAAGGTGATTTCAGGTTTTTATTTTTAATTGACTTCTCCCATTTCCTTCCTGTACCCACCCTCATCGCATGTTAAAAGGCTCCATCTCCTCCCAGTGATGCTGCTGATTCTTCCTCAGATGTTTCCAGTCTAGCTCCCCGTTTGCGTCCTTGTCCTGATCTAGGCATTGTCCTGGGCAGCCTTGCATTCAGTGAGTGTCACATGGCTCAGGCCATTTTTCACTGGGTATCTTATTGTTTGCTTACTGAATTTGAAATCAAACTTGGATATGAGCAGTAAGAGGATCTGGCATCCTTTTTTTTCCAATATTTGGAATATGAAAGCACATTGTACTTTGTGTAAAAAGGGTTTTCTTCTGTTCTCTTTCGTGGATGTAAAAATATTTCTTAAATGGTTTTTGTAAATTTTTACATTCATTAAGTTGATTTAGCAGACACGTAAGTCAGAAATTTTATGTAGTCCTGATATTACACATTTTAGAGGGAAACCTGGTAAATATTTTTATGATGCTTTATTTTGGGTTTTCCAAACTGATCAGTTCAATATAGCTATAATGCTGCAGCCTTCAAGCTCTGGGATTTCTTTTCATTGTCTTGTAAAATGCATTGTTACTGGTTTCAATAGCCCACTAATGCCATGGGGGTGCAAAACAAAGTATGCAATGGAACCTTACTTGTTTGAAGTTGTTAGGAAGTGTGATAGTGTCTCTGGAAAGAGGAGGGTGGTTTCCTGTCTGCCTGTGTGGGCAGCATATCCTTCAGGACCGTGCAGTTTTGGAGAGGAGGAACACTTGCCAATTGGTTGCAGACCCTTGGCCATTTAATATTTATTGTGCTAAAAGTCACAGGCTGCTTATGACAGTCACCAGCCATGAGAGAGGAAATTGGTCCATTCTGCCTTTTCCCTCCTTGTATGCTTGATTTAAGGTTAGGTTTCCATCCCCATTGTGTGTCCTGGCTACCAGACTCTTCCAGTGGTATGCTTTGAGCTTCCGGAACATTTCATAAAAAGATTGCCTTCTCTATCTACCCACCAGTTCTAGGATCTTTAACCACCTCAGACCCAGGCAATGTGAATTAGCCAAGTTTTGTTTGAGAAAAGGTGTACGATGTTTGGTTCGAAGTCTTGAGGCAGAACCCTCCCACTCGCAATGATCTAGGACCAAAGAACCCTAAGCAGTAGGAGCGTGAGGGGAAATATGGAGTCTCAGCCTCTCCTCACCTTTATTTTTATCATAGATTTTAAGTGTAAGATTGAAAGACACAGAAAGCTATTCGAGATCATGTCAATTGTGTATAATTAACCAAGGTAATTTGGGAATAAAATTTGGCTGCATTTGTTATATCCAGATGCTCTAACTTAACATCTTGGTTCTCTAGCAAAGAACATGCTGCTCTAACCTTGCCTTCTCATTTGGGACACACTTTCTGCCTGCCAGAAACTACCATTTGAGACAAGTGAGTTTTCTGCATGAAGGGCTTCTGCAGCTCCCCCCTCAAGGCAAGTCGACCTATTTTGTCCATTTTTCTTAGGAACGTAGTTGTGCATTTCTGAAGCCTTTAGTCCTTAGGAAAGTTAGGAACCCAGCTGAGTCTGAGTGCATCTTTGGAGCCCAAGAGAGATACACTTAATTTTCAGCAGACAAAAATCTGTCAGACAAGCTCCCATGTGTGATGTTAAGAGAAATTCCCTAATGCACTTCCATCTCTGCTTTGTGTGTTTTTTGACTAAGCCCTTGGTAGAGTTTGGTTCCTAGGTGTTGAGTCTCAGTGCTTCCTGAGCCAAGGTGGTTACTGCCCTTTAGGAGAAAGAACCATGAGCAACCAAAACTCTATCAATGACCCTGTCTATTTTCTGTGTTTTTCAGTGTCTTGTTTTGAAGGGTTGGGGTGGGGAAACGGTAGGTGAGATTCAGAGTAAAGGAAGAAATGAGGTCTGGAACTGGGGTACTTTGCTTCCGTCGCAGGCATCTGCCCTGAATATATAGAAACAGCTGCTTCACATGTGAGTCGATTTACTTTCCATCTAATAAACCCCATGCCCTTCTTACTGGCAAGGAGGGCTTCTGCTTTCCACACACCTAACCAGAGTCATCCAGATGGGGATTGGCACCACGGAAAGAGCCACCAGTGCTTCCCAGCTGCTTCTGGGTGTGGTTTCCACCAGGGCAAGAGCAGGTAGGCAAAAAATGTGAATGCCCACCCCAAGAAGAGATGGGAAAACAGAGGTGTCCAGACACAACCTTTTCTCTTCTGCCGTAACCCCCCAAGAACCCAGGGAAATCTTTGAAGCGATGTCGTTTTTTATTAAAGTGGAGAAAGAAAACTTCATCCCACTAAGTTTCGCTTGTCATTGTCTCTTACTACTGTTTCTGATTAATTCAGATCTGTACCCACTGCTGCTCACACACATGTATGTGTTTCTTACTTTAGCCTAACCCTTCTCGGCGCCTGAAGTCATTATTCTATTTTTTGTTTTTCTTTTTTTTTACGGCACTAGTGAATGAGAACCTAAAGTCTTAGAAAATCCTAACTTGAAAAGGAGTCTCTAACTGGCATGGTTTGATTAATTACGTTACCTTTTTCCCCCTAAAGACTTGAATGATTTTCTTTCCTAGTGCTATATAATAGATCTATAATAAGTGAAACCTTTGCTGCTACTTTCCTGGGTTTACAACAGTTTACTCCTTCCCTTAAGAATAATTTATCTGTGCTTCTCTGATGACTGTTAATTTCTAATATGTGCAGGAAGAGATGAGCCTGAGATTCCTTCTCTTACTCCCCTCCTCATCCTGCCCCCAAATTACACACTAACCTCTACAGGATCTGTGGGGTGGGGCTCATCAGGAGCGACTTGTTTTTTCTTACCATGCTGCAGCTCTCAATGGCCCCTGAGGCTCGATGGCTGCCCAGTACTGAGGATTACTTGTTAATTTTGCCTTTCTCCTCCATTCTGTTTGATGACTCAGTCTTCAAATGCCTCCCACTCTAGCCGCCTCCTTTTTCCTCCCAGGAATCATTTCCAAGTCACCTGCCTTGGGCATTTCCCAACTGCTCAGCTCCTCACCTTTGCCCACCTTCCAGTGACCCTGAGAGCACAGACCTGAGAAATGGCCTGTGCAGAGCTCAGAGAACTGTGAGCACTACCCCTACCCGTCAGACTCTGCTTGGGGACAGAGATTGATGGGTAAATGGTGCTGTGGGAGAAATTTTTATCTTCAAACCAGACTCTTTCCTCCCTGTACCCCGCCCCTATCCCAGCCCCTGAGGGGGGAAAATGCAGAAGAGGGTTGACTGGCAGGATCTGATCCCAAACTCCTGTTTGGCCTAAGCCTCCCCCAACCTTTGGCCCACCCTGGAGTGCTTCCGTGTGTGGGAGTTGCTGCTTACTGTTTCTCCACCAGGCCTACCCAACGCTTAGCCAGTCCTCGGGGCCGACACAGCCCCCTACATGGTGACTTAACACCAGGTTCCATTAGCTGTCCAAGTGACTGTTTCCACCCAGTACTTTTGGCGCTTGAGATTTGGGGGTGGGGGGGTGGGGAGGGAGGGTTATTTAAAATAAATAAAATCCAAGGTGGCAGTAGAGGATTCCTTTTGCTTTAAAATCTTTGGACTAAAAAAAAAACACTGTTTTTATATATAAATATATAAAGTAAATTGTTATGTAACTATTATTGTTTCCTGTATGTTCTAATTTTGTTTTATGATGTAATTAAAGAAAATAAGCTGTGAAGACTTTTCATTTTGCTGCAGTATTAGCCTGACTCGGAGCTGCTCCTCTTAACTTCCTTGAACCCTAGAACTGCAGAGGCTCCTGAGGCTGAATGAAGGGGTTTCTTTTCAGCATTCTTATATGTTTAAGTATCCTTTAATAACCTGTATTTATGATTTAATAGCCTTTATTTAATACTTTTTCAGTAGCTTTAATTGAATACCCTGAACTCCACTTGTCTCTAAGAAAAATGGAAGACATAATATAAATCAGCTTTGAAAAACCTTTGTCTTAATTTGATAGTAACAGTTGAGCCCGAGTCTCTTATCAGTGCAGAGCATTGCTCTTAGCTCCACTAGGAAGGAATGAGGATGGAGTAGTGTAATGGTTAAACACACACACTCCCAGGTCAGACTGCCTAACAGCCACCCGAGTGACCCTCTGTCTCAGTTCTTCATTGTTAAAGTGGGGGTAACAGTACTTACTCTAGAGTTGTGAAGACTAAAAGGTAATAATGGCATCTTGTAAACACACGTTACCTGCTTTTATCCCCTTCATTTTAGCAAATATTTCAGTGACTAGTCTGTGCTTGAGGCTCCTAGGTTGAGAGATACACAAAGATTAATGCAATGGGGTCCCTATTCTTTTAGTGGAGATGAGCAGTGGGTCCAAATCTGCAACCTAAACATAAATCTCAGGTGTCTCCCCTGCCATGAAATACCCTTGGGAAGCCCTGTGGAGTCATAGGCTCCACTTGAAATCCAGTCAACCTGTGTGAGGTAAAACCTGGTCTGCATTGGTCATCTGGGGCCCACACGATCCCTTCCGGGGGTGCAAGCAGGTGCCTGCTCAGTCACCCATACTGAGTCAGCCCTGGGCGTTGAGGGAGGCACTTGTAGGTGTTCAGGGGATACGCAGACTTCCCTATCCATTGTTAATCAATTCAGCCAGTGCTCAGAGCCTTCTTTCCTACCCTCCCCAGCCAGAGGCCACCTGGTTTAAGGCTCACCAAAGTGATCAGTAAATGATAACTGAGGTGTACGATCAGTATGGGATTAAGCAGGTATCTTTAAGAGGGTGCCTTGGCCTGACCTCCGTGCATAAGGGTTTTTCCCTTTGCAGTATGTTTGAAATTTTGTATGATAAAATTTTGAGGGAAGGGAATTTAAAAAAAAACAAGATATGACCCAATATCACTTATCTTTTTTTAAAGCACTTAATGTAAAATTGGTTTTCTACAAAGAAAAAGAGATACACAAAAAAATCAGCTTCAGGTAGATTACAGGCCTAAAAGTTACACAGAAAATTAAACTTTAAACTTTGACAAATGTTTATATGTATGACCTTAATATACGGAAGGATTTCTTAAGACATAAAAATTAAAAGATTAATAAATTTTTTAAACTCCATAGCTTCAGTGTTCAAGAATAGCTATAGTGGGCCAGCCGAGTGGCGCGTTGGTTAAGAGTTGGCTTGAGATACCAGCTCTGAGCAGCAGGGCCCCAGTTCGGATCCCACATGAGAGCCAGTGACGCTACGCCCTCTACAGCTAAGATGGTGAACAACAGCTCGACCTGGAGCTGGGCTGCTGTGAGTTGCTGACGAGGGTGTAGGCTGCAGTGGGGCTGGCCTGTAGGTGGCGTGGGCTGGCCTGCAGGTGGCGTGAGCTGGTGTGAGCCCGGGGAAGAGCGCAGTGATGATACCAACATGGGCCAGTGAAGCGACGTCCTCCACAACTAGACTGAAGAACAAAAGGACAGCAACTTGTGTTTCCCTTCCCCGATTCCCCAGTGCTGTTTCCCTCCCCCAACTCCCCAATAAAATCTTTAAAAAGAATATAGTATTTCCCAAATCTCTAGAACTGCAGCGGTTTTTTTGTGTGTTTTTTTGCGGTGGGCGGGGGGATAGTTGGTTGGAACAGCGTTGGGGAATAAAGGAAAGGGAACAGACAATTTGCTGTCCTTTTATTCTTCAGTCTAGTTGTGGAGGACATTGCTTTACTGGCCCATGTTGGTATTGTGATCATTGCGCTCTTCCCGGCTTAGGAAGATCGGTCGCCGCCATTGGACAGCAGCTTACACCGGCTGCCGGCCACTCACGGTAGCTTACGGCAGTCCACTGCAGCCTACGCCATCGCTGGCGACTCACGGCAGCCCAGCTCCAGGTGGAGCTGTTGTTCACCATCTTAGCTGTAGAGGGTTCAGTGTCACTGGCCCATATGGGATCCAAACCAGCGGCCCTGCTGCTCAGAGCCTGCACTCCCAAGCCAACTCAACCAACGCACCACTCGGCCAGCCCTAGAACTGCAGTTTTAAGTAAGCACTAATTTGATAGTTGAATGGTCTTTTGGAGGCTTTAGTGAATAGTTTTTGCCCAAACTAATTGAAAAAAAATCCAGCCAGATTCATTTATTCCTCTGTCCCACACTCCATCCTTTGCCCTAGTCTGTAGTTTAAGCAGAAGACATTTCTCAAGAGGACCATAATACCAAGAAAATTGAACAAGCATTAAGCAAATACTTTTAAAATTAACTTTTAATTAACAAAAAGGAAAGGGTAAGTAAAATTTTAAGCACGAATTAATGTACTCTGTTCAGCAACACTGCTTGGGGCAAAAGCTGTATATGCGTATTGCCAGGTTTTTTACCTCACACGCTTGGCCTGCGTGGCTCAGCTTGGGAGGCTGTGGCCCGGGTTCTAACCATTGCTGCTAAGCAGAAAGAAATGTGAGCCTGGGGGCTGCTTGCCTCCTCCCAGAGGAAGGGCACATGACGGTTTGGCTCTGCACCTGGAACCTGGTGAAGCATTGAGGACTGGAACAAGTCTGGTGAACCAAGCTGGCAGCAGGCTCCGCCTCCTTGCATCAGGGCACCCCTGGGCCTAGGTCAGAACCAGGTAGTAGCCATCTGGATTCTGCACTGAAAGCAGGAAAAGGGGCACCACTGGGATGAGGCTTGCCCCCAACCATCACTGCTGTGCTGCCCCCCAAACCTCCGAGTGGCGGACAGCACCATCTGCCAACCCCACCTCAAATCCACCATTTCAGAAAGCCTCCCTCTGTGCTGTAGCAGGAGGGACAGGGCAGCCGTCCTGGTAACCAGAACCACAGCTGCTGACTGGTCAGCAAGCACCTGCCCGGCTGGGCATGTTGCAGGGTGGGTGGGGCTGAAGTGAGGAGGTCTTCTATGAAATAAACCCCCAACGGAAACGGGGCACCTTTTTCCCGCATGAGAATGCATGTATTCTGTCACATTTTTCCTGAGCAGTAAATAGCTACATGAATCCGTCCCTTTGACACAAACGAAGCTGGCATCTCCCAGTAAAACCCCTACCTTTCTTCACCACAGCCACAAAGTGTGATTCGTCCTTAAGATTCTGAACCACCTGCGAGGGAGAAGGGGTCCACTAAGACAATTGTGTTCTTAGAGCCAAACAGAACCAGGGCAAAGAGAGGGAAACAAGGGATGGAGACCTTTGGGGAACTGCTGCTGCCCCTTTACCTGGTCGCTGAGGAGAATGAGGATACCCCCAGGGCCCTGGTGGAAGAGGCGGTGGATCTGATTGGCTGGGAGGGCCAAGAGCTCTGCCAGTTTCCCCATCAGCTCTACGGCACTGAGTTCATCCAAAGAAATCTCTTGGTAAAAGCCTGGGGTGTGGGCAGCACAGGGGCAGGGATCAGTGCGGGGAGGGGTCCAGAGGGAGCCCCAGATACCAGGACATGGTGACAGCCTCATGGAGGAGGTAGGGGAGAGGGAGTAAAGAAGGAAAAAGGCTCATAAATCCACTTAGTCTTCACCTCTTCCTCCTCACCTTTGGGAAGACCTCAGCTGAAAGAGGAGGTGGGAGACCTACATATGAATGAATGAAGCCCAAATGCAAGAATAAGATTACAGTGTTCTAATCCCACCTCCTAATAGAATGACAAAATCAGATGGGGTTTAGGCTGTAGAACATGGAGGAATAAACCCAGGGAGAGGAGTGATCTGGTCGTGGAAGGCAGGGGAATGCCGAGGAAGGCATCCTGGGTCCCTGGAATAGTGGAGCGTCACACCCCAGGCCAGAAGAGGTTTCATGCAGCCACGCCTGAATTGCTCCTGAAGAGAGGCCAGAACCTCACCTGAGTCAGGGCTCTTAGGAATCTCGTTCTCTTGCCTAGAGGCCTCCTGAGCCACATATAAAGTCAGCCGGTGACGGATAGGCCTGGACCAGGAAAACAGTGTACGTATCAGTCCTGCATAGCTGAACTAACGGCTCCCACTTTGAGCCCCCATCCCTGGGAGAGACCCAGCCTCCTCCCAGGTCTCTAGGGAGAGAGGTCACCAAGCATTTCTTAGGCGTTTAATGAATGCACAGGGGAGAGAAGAGGAGGAAAATCTATCTCTGTCCCCAGAAATGGAGTGATGCAGAAGGGATGGACACAGAAAGAAGAGGCCACAGGAGCCTAACTTTTTAGCCCAGCTCTGCCAGCCTTGTTCTTTGACCTCAGACAAGTCAGTGTCTTTCTTGGGCCTCAGTTACTTCCTCTGTAAAATGAGGAAGTAGAATAGTGGTCTCTAAGGTGACTCCCGGCTTGAATGTTCTATGAAACATGACTGCTAGCTGAGTTGGTAGGTGCCACTCCATTGGGAAGGGGACTCTGGTTGGCAGTGCCCAGCACCTGGCTCTAAGAGTATTGAAAAGGCGGATCCCGTCGGCAGCCCCGCAGATCTGGATAAGGTCCTGGCGGGTAAGCTTCAGCAGATCAGTGCCTGCAGAGTCAGACAGGGCAAGATTGGAGGAAAAGGCCTGGGATCAAGGGTGGCAAGGGACACAGTCCAACATCAGTCTACAAATAGCCCTCGTATGTCCAGAGTTGGATTCAAATCCCGGCTCTGCCACTTGCTAGCTGTGTATCCTTGGTAAATTATGTAACCTCTCTGAGCCCTGTCATCAAGGGGTAGTGTATAAATTATATGGGGTAATACAAGAGACGAGAGCCTAACAAGCACGGTGCCTGGCAACTCTTTGTCCTAAATAAAAGTTAGCTGAAGAGCACACAGCAAGCCAAGACAGAAACAGCCTTCCTGCTTAAGTGTCCCACCCTCAGCCCCCTACAGATCTGGTCCCTGCCAGACCCCAGGCTCACCGGTGAAATTGGCCAACATCCTACAGTAGCTGGAGAACCTGTGCCGATGCAACCACTGCTGCGTCTCTAGGATGGAGGCTCCTGGGATCAGATCCTGAGGCATAAAGAAGGTGGTCTGGATAACACCATGGACTCACGGACTGAGTACAAGGGGGAGGGGAAACAGCCCCTGCTCTTTGTGGCCCCAAATCTGAGAAGGGAGGCTCAGCCTGCTGGTGGGAAGTGCCCACCCTAACAAGGAAGTTTTGCGATCTGTGGACGTACCACATCTGTCCACCAGGGGGCAGGACCACCCTATTCTGGATTGTGAGATAAACCCTTTGAGAAGGCTTTGGGATGATAAGTGAGGGGTTGGAAAGGAAAGACTCACCTCAGCTGGGCTGCCCCCCAAGGTGTCCAAGAGGAATGGTGGTGAGTAGCAGAGCCTGCGGGGGAGCAGAGAATCAGCGGCCCTGCGGAGCAGTGCAGCCAGTCTCCCACCCCGCCTGCCCCTCCCCAGGCTGGCCGGCCCCAGGAGGCAGAGCTTGCTGCTGTCATCCCACATGTCTCCAGAGGCACAGGGCTGAGCCTTCCCCTGCCTCAGCTGCACCCCTCAACCCTGCCCCTCCCCTACTCGTGGGCGGAGGAGCTCTTCTCTTCACCCTCCCCTCAACGGTCTGATAGAGGGTGCTGTTCCCACTCACCTCTCTGGGGACAGCAGCTTGCAGGAGTGGGGCGAGGTCAGAGCCAGAGGGCTGAGAGGCAGATAGGGCCCTGCACTGGGCTCTGGCCACGGTGAACACTGGGCAAACAAACAGCAAGGTGGGCCTGGAGGTCTGAGGACAGTGGTGGCAGTTCCCTCACCTCCCTCCATCTGTCTATTAAGAGCTGACAAGGGGCCTGCCTTGGGCCAGACTTGGTCCCTGCCCTAGGAGTCCCTGACAAGCTGACCAAGTTTCCACACAAAGGAAGAGAGTAAACTAGCCTGCCGGTCTGCCTGGGGGAGTTGGGGCAGGCTTCCTGGAGAAGTTAGCCAGAAGCACAGCAGGAGGTAGGGAGGTGCTCCAGGCAGAGGGAGCAGAGGGAGGTGACAGCAATGGCAGGGCGCAGGAGACGCAGCCTGGAAGGTGTCAGCTCCCGGAAGTCGTGAACAACAGACCGCGCAGTTTGTCCTTGCAGGAAACCGGTGGAGTCACTGGGGGGCTGTGATGATCCTGGAGCAGTTGTACCCCTTGAGGCCTCAGTTTCCCCAGGTGTACAATAAGGATCTTTTCTCCAAACCTCCCCTCCTAGCCCCACCACCCCAATACACACACCTCCACGAAGACCGTGCTCTCACAGGCAGCCTGGTACTTGTCCCTCTCATGCAGGGGCTGTTTCTCAATCTTCTCTCGGTCAGTTTTCAGCTTCCGGTCAGCTCCTTTGGGCTACAGGAGGGAGCCGAGGAAATCTCAGAGGCACTCTCTTTACCTGCCCACTTCTCATTACAGAAGGGGCTCTAAGAAAGAGATCAAGCCTCATCCCTCTGTGTACAAAGAAGGAAAGGGTCCCAGGGAAGGGCCACCATAGAACAGGGCCAGAATCCACACAGCCAGCAAGGCAGGACAGCAGCCCTGAGAGGAAGGGGAGAGGGGCCCTGGTGCTGCCTGGACCTTGAACACCTTGATGAGGCAGCCAGCTGAATGCAGGTGTTCAGGTGGAAGCTCCTTGTCACTGGGCTTGAAGGTGTCAATCTGGAGGCGGAAGGGGACGCCTTTCTCTCCACCTTTTTTCCGAGGAGTGAACTCAGTGCTGATGCAGTGAACCTGAGGTGGAGAAGATACAAAGGAAAGCATGGTGACTCCAGGTCCCACCCACATTTTCGGGATTTCACCTAAAACCCGTTATCTGCCTGTCACCTGTCAGCTACTTTCCATCCCCAAGCAGTGTCTAGTCTTAAAGTGTAACTTTATTACACTCTTCCCCTTGTTCAACATCCTTCAGTGGCTCCCAAAGCTTATGGGATGAGAAAGCAAAGTTCCTGACCCTGACATTCAAGCACCTTAAAGAGTCAAATCAAGCCTTTCTGCGTGGCTGCTCTCTCACCCATCAATGAATCCACTGACCCATCTAGCCAGCCTATGACCCCAGCACACCTGCAGAGTTCTCCCCCAAATCCTCTACCTCTACCTTGCTCACGTCTGAGCCAAGACATCCCATTCGAGGGTAGGGTTGTCAGCTAAAATACAGGATACCTAGTTAAAGTTACATTTCAGATAAACAACAAGTAAGTTTTTTAGTATAAGTATGTCCCAAATATTGCACAAAATACATTTAAAAAAATCTTTATCTAAAATTCAAATTTAACTGAGTACCCTGTTTTATTTGCAAAGTCTAGCAACCTACTCTAGGAAGCCTTCCTGGCCTGCACCCCATATGGCCTGCAGCCTCTGTGTTTTGCCTGGCACGGGGGCAAGCGAGGTCTTCCCCTCCATTCACACCTACTTCGGACCTCCCACAATCCTGTGACAAATAGTTAAAGGATCTAACTTTACAGGTGGGGAAATTAAGGTTCACAGAGATTATGTGACAAGATCCCTGGACAAGATCCACGCTAGGAAGTGGTGGAGCTGAAATTATGCCATATCTGCCTGACTCCGAGACCAGGAGCTTAGACCAGGGTGGGCACTCAAAAAAAGGGTGACTTTAGGGCCGGCTGAGTGGCTCAGTTGGTTAAGAGCTCGCTCAAGAGTTTGAGCTCTGAGCAATAGCGGTTCGAGTCCAGCCCAAGCTGAGCAGCTGCTGAGCTGCCAACAGGTAGCAGGATGGCTCAGCTTAAAAAAAAAAAAAGGGTGGCTTTTGTCAATATTGTTTGATTCTAAAGGGAAATCTATTCAATGTAGAAAATGTGGAGAACACTGAAAAAATATAAAGAAGAATACAGGTATCTCCCATCACTCCACCCACTGTTAACATTCAATTATTGTCTCTTCCTATCTTTTCTCTGGGCAAGAAAAGAGGGGGGGGGTGTATATATACACACATTTTTATTTTTACAAAATAGAAATCAAACTTTAAATACAAGTTTGTATTCTGCCTATTCTTATAGGAAAGCAGTTTCTCTTGTCATGCAATATTTCTGAGGCATCATTTCAATGGCTGCATAATTTCCGTTGTAAGCCTGTACTAAAACTTATTTAAAAGTCAATCCAATGGGCATTTTGATCATTTAAATGTTTTTTAGGATAAGTTGCTTGAAGTGGAACTACTGGGTAAAAGTATGACCATGAAATTTCATAAATTTTGCCCAAGTGCCACACTACCTATAGAATAGATGCACCAATCTGTATTCTCAGAATATGAGGGTGTCTGTTTCCCCAAAGAGTCGTATTACCAGTAGTAGTTTTTTTTTTAAGTCTTTGCCAGTTATATATATATGAAATTATGAAATTTTTATTAGCATTTTATGAGGCTGAACAGTCTACATTTATTGGCAATTTGTATCTTTATATATATTGTCTGCTTATATCCTTTGCCTATTTTTCTGTTTGGCTTTCATCTGTTTTTTCTTACTGATATATGAGAACTGTTTATATTTTAAGGATACAACACATTATATGTAGCAATTATTTTTCCCATTTGATGTCTCCTTTTAATTTTGCCTAGGTATTGCTGACCATTACTTTCTATGAAGCTAAGCTCTGTCCTGTGTTTTGTAGTTTCTTCCATTGCTTTAATGTTTAACAAGCCCTTCCCTATGGTGAGATTTGATGAACATTTATCCACATTTTTTCCTCAAGGTGCTTTCTGGAAGTGACTCATGCTTACTGTCCCCTCACTCCACCCAAACTCACCTTCTTTTCCCACCTCGGGTGCTGCCACCCTCATCTGACCTCCAGCCTCATCCCGGTCCCAGCTTCAGACTCACCTGCAGGAAGAGGGAGGTCCTTTTGGTCGGGTCCCAATGAAACTCCACTGTATTGAGTTGTGAGGGCAGCATTTGGGGTTCTATCACCCCCACGGACAGTGGTACATCTGCAGGCATAGGGTGGCAAACAGGAAGCAAGGCTCAGGCCTCCTCACCCGTAAGAGCTTCCAAGCCAGACAGCGGCTCTAAAGGGCCCCTGTGCCTCCCCACTCACCGATGTCCAGGATGCGGTCCCCAGGCCGGCTCCACCTCCACCCATCCAGCTGCTGCTGCTCCGTGTACTGCAGGCGTCGGTCATGGAACACCACACGCACCACACTCTGTGGGCACAGGGGGGCATGGCTCATAGGTCAGAGGGGGCCTGGGCATTTATTTGGGAGCCAGTTCCCACACCTAAGCTCGGCTAACCATCCCATCCTCTCCCCGGCCTTGCTCCTCACCCCCAGGGGGGCACAGGACTTAGAATCACCAGATTTCTGTTCCGATGCCCACCTGCCACACTCACAAACTGTGAAACTGGGGAAGTAACTTAGAGACCCTGAGCCTCAACTTCCTCATCTGCAAAATAGGGGAGTTCATCCCTTCCCACTCTGTCACTCGACCTGTTTCTTTTTTTTGCAGCACTTATCAATTTGCAATTTGTAAGTCAACTGGCAGTTGCATATGATTAGTGTAATTACATGTTTGTCTCACTCAGTAGAATGGAAGCCCCCTGAGGAAGGGGACTACACTACATCTGTCTCTTTACTGCCGAATCCCTGTCTCAGGAAACAGTTTTTGGCAGTGACTGGGAGCTGAATAAACTTTTTTTTTTTTTCTAGAAAAGGAATCGTGTGGGAATAACACTATGTAAATTTCTCAATCCTGGTCTGTTACTTACTGGCTCTGTGTCCTTGAGAAAATACTTAACCTCTCTGTGTCTGTTGCTTCAACAATTCCTGCTCACCACTGTGAAGGTCAAATTAAAAGGTAGGCTTGTGAGGCTTCTACTTGACAATGGCATCACAGTGGTGACATTGGCTTCCTGCCCAGAGGGACAGTCCTACCAGCCTTTGCTAGTTCTGGGAGGGGATGCACCTACCTTCAGCAGCCGGGGCCACTGGGTGGCATCGCCCAGCTTGGAGTTGCAGAGCATCTGCACCTCATAGGACTGGCCTGGGGGAGATTAAGGGGATGTGTGAGGCCCACTCTGAGGGCAAAGGTGGTGCCTGCCACCCCGGCCCACACAGGGCCCAGCCTCCAGAGCTTGCAGCCCCACTAACCCCGTTCCTTCCCAGGCCCGGCGTACCCTGGTTTAGGTAGGTGAGGGCCTCCTCCTGTTGCTTCACGGCCGGTGAGGTGGCTGCACAGAGCACATACTGCAATGCGGGGCAGGGCAGCTCCTCACTGGGGATGTTGGGCAGCTCCTCCTGCTTCAGGTAGGGCAAGGGCAGGGACTCCCTGCCAGGGAGAGGAGGGCATGGCCGGCTTGCTGCCCTGTCTGCCCAGCGGGGCTTTGACCACTCTTCCAGGTCCTCCCTCCAGGGAGCCTCCAGTTTCCTGTAGCAGGCACCCCAGCAGCAGCCAGGGCCTACGGGGCCCCCATTCAGCTTCTCTGGCCTCTAAGAGACGTCCCTTAAGGAGCACATCTTAGATCCCATCAAACATCTGCTGCCAGTCACTTATTTGCAACCTCAGGGCTTGCCTGATACCAAGTCAATGCTCAACAAAAGCGTCCTGAGCAGGTGGTGGTCAGGGTGTTTTGAGTCGTCCCAGGACCCACTAAACTCCAGGTGTGTTTGACCATTCCCCGTCCCCAGAGGAACCCACGAGCAGGAAGCCCATCCCCCTCAGCTTGAAACAGAGGGCCCCTACTGTGTCCACCACAACTAAGACCAGGGCCTCCCTCAGGGCGGGGCGGAGAAGGGAATCTGGCCCTTACCTGAGCAAGCTGCTTGTGGGCCCCGGGTACAGTTCCCCGGGACTGGGCCATAGGTGCTCCGGCTGATTGTGCCAAAATAGCATCTTGGAAAGGGAGCAGGACCAGCTGTGTGACAGGGAGCTCAGCACTGGGTTGGGCTTGACCCACTGGGCCATCCACCTGGGGCCTCACCTTTATACACAGAAAGCCCACTGTGGGGTGGGGTGAGGCCTGGGGCCTCTGATTGGCTGAGCACTCACTAAGGGCTATAGGAAACTCAGGACCTCTTAGACAGACCAAGTGTGGGGAATCCAGACATGGTGTCCCCAGGGCTCCCCAGCAATCATTAGCTTGATGGGGAGATGGTGGTGCAGCAAAACAAAGTCACAGGGATGGACACCCACTCCCCCATTGTTCCCCAAGAGGCCCAGTCAGGAACAATGACAGCCACCCTCAGGCTTCAATATTGGCGCCTAAGCCATGTGGAATCCTGGAGACCCATGGGTCCGGAAACCATGGGAGGAGCCTGACCACTCCAGGGTACAGGACAAGCAGGCATGCAGCATCACATGGACCTAGAAAGGGTCTTTGCTCCCCACTGTCCTTCCCCCCTCCCCTCCCCCCACCCTTACACACAGGTGCAGTATGGCAGGACACCTGTCCTTTCACTAGGGGCTGTCCCGCTAGGGGATCGGAGTTTACAGAACATAGCCCAGCTTGCTGTGGAAACAATTCAGGGGTTGGTGCTGGGAGGGAGAGCCCACCTGTGGGGAGGAGGAGGGTGTGCCTGGGGGGCACCCCTCCCAGGACAGAGGGAGAGGAGCTCTGGTGGGGCTGGTTAAGAAACCCTCCTCTGGCTTGGAGCTTGGGGCAAACTGTGTTTACCGACAAATACAGTCTGCCTGGGGGAGGGCTTTTTTCCCTATTCTCAGCCCCTGTTGTCACTGTACACAGATAGCCCCAGCCCCCTCTGTCCACTCCCGACTACTGTGTTTGGTATAAACAGATGAGGGCCTTGCAAAGAGCAGAGAGACAAGGCTCTAAACACATGTCCTGACCTCGTGTGACCCTAGCTATCCAGGTTTTGTGATTCTGGGGGGTCTGCCTGCAGGAAAGGGTACCCCCACACACACCAGGCAGGACACCTCCATCTCTAAGTACTTGGCCCTTGGTCCTGCTTCCTCCTCCCATAAAATTAGACAAAATGGAAGAAAGGAAAAACGGGGGATGGAAGCATCCCTGCCAGTGGCAGCCAAAAAAGCCCAAGTCCCCAATCTCCTGTGATAAGATTCCCCAAGACTTTGAGAATCCACCCATTGCCCAAAGCTGGATTCAAGGCCCAAAGGCCCCCATAGAGCCTCCGGGCCTTGGACAGAGCAGGATCCCACGAAGGCGACGGGGAAGGGGAGGAGGAGGGGTCCTAGCCATGCTTGGCCCTGGCCACAGGTGTTGACATAAGAACGTCCAAACCTGTAGAGAATTTTTATAAAACTTTATTTGAGCTAAACAGAGGATACACCTGGAAGCAAGATATCAACAGACTGAGATAAATGCTCCCGAAAATAACAGTTTGCATTTTCTTTTATGCATTTGAGATTAAGGAGGGAACTAAGGAAGATAACCTGAAGTTGAGAGAGAGCAAGATAGGATCAGATTACCTCTTGCATGCTTTAGAAGGAGGGACCTGAAAGGGTGCTCAGGTAATATTAAAAGGAGGAGTCTGAAAGGGGCCATTTCAAAGGTAGGTTAACCCTGTATGCACAGAAACAATGGACAGGACTTGCTTAAATCAAAGATAAATCTTTTAGGGCCAGCCGAGTGGCTCAGTTGGTTAAGAGCTCGCTCAAGAGTTTGAGCTCTGAGCAACAGCAGTTCGAGTCCCAGCCCAAGCTGAGCAGCTGCTACAGGTGGCAGGATGGCTCAGCTAAAAAAAAAAAAAAAAAGATAAATCTTTTAGTAAAGAAGTTATATGCTGGGGTGTGACTACCCACCATGACCTGCCCAGTTAGGAATTTATGATCAGATCACCCTGTGAGGTTACTTTCCATAGAACCCCTTTATTCATCCACAAGGGGGAGCAGGGTGTGGGAGTGGAAGTGGGGCAGAGGAGATAAGCAAGCAGATGGAGGGGGCTGGTGTGGGCCCCCTTCGAGGATATCCCCAGGTGCTGATCCTGGGAGTGGGACTCCAATTCCAGCACCCAAGCACGCACCCTCCACCTCCAAAGCTGTCTGTGTCCTCCGCCTTTTCCCCCTGAATCCCATCTCTCCCCTATTAGCTGTTACTCCCACCTTCCACCTATCTCAGAGTCTCTGCACGTCTCTCCCCATCCAGATATTCCTGGATCTGCTCTTCCATGGCTCTTTCCAAGGAAAAAAGCCGGGCTTACGACATGCGGAGCCTGGCCATGTCCCTCTCCCCGTCCCACTCTTTCTCTGTGCCCCTCGGGCCGGCACCAGCACAGGGTCTCAACAGCCCATCCTCAGGCTTGGAAAGGAGGCCTTAAGAAACTTCTTTCCAGGCCCCCCACTCTCAGAGGAGCCTCAGGCCCACGAGGCAGGGGCACGGCGCAGACTCGCTCTCTTTACCTTAGTGAACCTGCTTTCCTCATCTGCAAATTGGAAGCAAGGCCTCCCCCCCCACCCAGTGTGGCAGTGAGGGTTAATGGGAATTCTGTGATGTTGCATCTTTTTCCAGGGTTTAATCCCCCAGGAGCTCCCCTTAGGGTAGCAGGGGACACCAGTGTCCACTCTTGGGGGGTACAGACATGACTGTCCCAGAAACTTCCCCATACACAGATAATTTCAGGGGCAATGTTTTGGGTGCGATATTTTTAAATGGGTTTTTTCCCACCCAAAATGCTCTATCATCTATTATTTTCTAGGCCATGACATAACCCATCCTAATAATACCCTTTCAGGTTCCCTAAGCCAAGGAAGTAACTTTTTATCTGTGAAAATTGCTGAGAAATAACAATTCAGTGACCTTCTCGAACTCTTACCAAAATGTTTTTATTTGTTTTCTATCCCCAGGCAACATTCCAACCTGGAGAATTGAAGACTGAGGTCTGCCCTTCCCTCAAAGAAAGAGGGGCTGAAAGGAGAAGTGCCATTCATTCATTCACTCATTCATTCGTTCAACGAAATGTTCTTGAATGCCTACTATGTACCAGGTTTCTCTTGTCCCCCCCCCCTTCCACCTCTCTCTCTCTCTTTCTCTCTTCTCTTCTCTCCCCTCCCTCTCTCCCTCACACTAGTGAGTGGGTGGAATCCTGCCTGCATAGGGCTCAGGCACTCCCTGCTACCCCTGCATTGGTGGTCAAAACGAAGGCCTGCGCCCTGAGTTCCAGGCAAAACTATTTTTAAAAGGAAAGGATGAGAGACGATTTTTCAGACATTGTCCGCGCACATGTGCATACACACAGGAATCTGACAATATCATATGGCAATCCTTGTTTGGTCTGTGCACACAAATACTCCCACCCCAGGAAACGATCCCTCTGCCCAGCAAAAGGTCTCTGAGGACTCGTTGCACAGCTCCGCAGAGCACCACACTAAATAGCGCCCCCTAGAGTCAGGCAATGTATAGGCCTGGCTCTAAGCACCCAATCCTTTATTCCTGAGAGTCCGTGTCAACCACCAGTAAGCCTCACCTTTGAAAGGCACCCTCTCTGTTCACGCTTCATACTTACTGCCAGCTTCTTAACCCTTCCTGCAGCCCAGCCAATTGGTACTTATGTTTTCCATGTCCTGTCTCTTCCCTTCGCCAAATTCCTTCACAGCAGTCATCCGTTGTGCAGTTTATTCTTTGTGTACTTTGTCTAATGTTTTCGTCCCATCACTGTGGAAGCCCCTTGAGGGTAGAGACTAAGAGAGGTGCACTAATGTTAGGGTTAAGAGTATGTTTGTTGCGATAGACTGATTTCAGGCTCAGCTGTGTGGTATTTGGCAAGTAACTTAACATTTCTGAGAATCATGCTGCAACTATAAAAAGAGGATGATGAGAGCCTTTACCCCATAGAGCTAGAGTGAAAACTGAATGAGCTAATAATTGAGCCCTCATAAATGTGGGTGTCTTTTTTTTCTATGAATCCCCAGTGCCTAGTACATCATAGGTTTATTTATTTAATACTTAAAAGTACAGGTTTATTTCTACAGCACTTATAAATAGAAGGTCTGTTTATCAAAAAGTTCTTCAGTGCTCAGTATGTCTTCAGAGTGCTTTTCAAACAGGCTACCTTCTGAGGAAGATGCTATTTTTCTTTTCTATTCTATTATCCCCCATTGTACAGATGGGGACACTGAGGTTCAGAGAGGTTAAGTAGTTATCTCAAAGTCACACAGCTAAGAGGAGACGGAGCCAGGGTTTGAACCCAGACCATCTGGGTCACAGTGCCTGCTCTTAAATCACTGTACTATGCCCCACTCTGCCTGATAAATTTAGTGTGAAATTTTAAAATGAATCTCCGGGCAACATTCCAACTTGGAGAGCTGGAGAATGAGGTCTACCTACCAGAGTCACCCTCACCTCTAGCCTCTGGCTCCAGGTGCTTCCAGACTTCATCGTCTCTCTTTTCCGCCAGCTCTCAGCAACAGCCTCCACCCCAGTCTGTGCCCAGGACCCCTCTCCAGAAAAGGACCCTCCTTTAATAGTTTGGGGCCCCTCAGTGCTCATCTCTTCAAAATTCTAACCCCTAACAGCTCCCCCAGTCCACTGGGTTCCACCCCCTTGCCCACCCCAAAGTGATGACATTGCTATTACCTTGGAAACAGATGCTTTGTGGGTGGGCAGGGGGAATGGCCTAGAGAAAAAAAGCAGTGGCTTCAGGATACTATCAGAGGCATGGGATGTGGAGGAGTGAGCAAACTGGCACTGGGCTTGTGGAGGGGCAACCAAGGGCTACCACACACACACACACACACACACACACACACACACACACACACACACACGACTGCTGTCAGCACAATGTCCCTAGCCTCACAGAGAAAAGAAACAGAAGGGGAAAGAGAGGTTTTCTTCATGAAGGAAAGGAAAACATTCCCAACTTCATTGTCCCCCTCACATGAGAACAGGTCTCCTGGACAGCCTGGGCTTGTCAGGGGTTGCGTGCACTGAAACCCATGTTGTTCCCCTCCAGGGAGCCTGAGGCA